TCGTATTGTAAATCGAGGTTTTTATTTTACCTGAGAATTTTATCTGTCAAGATTTGAAAAATGTAAATCTCTCTCTTTTTCTTTTTCCTGCATCAAAAATATTTTATAAAATTCTATATAAATTAATAATTTTTATTATATACAACATATAAATTGTATATAGTAAAAATAATACATGATAAATCTAATGAATATATTAAATTAATGTAACATTTTAGTTTCAGTGTCTATCAAACTTTTATTAGAACACTCGAACCTTCTGTTTTATTTTTCCAAAATAAATTTATTATTTTTTAATTAATAATTAATTAATTAAAAATAGAAAAAACACATAATTGAGAAACACATGCTTAGTGAAGGAACAGCAAATATACTTCACATTTGGGCACAAAATACATTTAATGTCATTCAAAATGTAACATTCTAGTTTCCGTTTCTTCTAAACTTCTGTTAGGACACTCATCTTGTATTTTATTTTTCAAAAATAAATTTATTAATTTTACAATAACATTTCTTCAGTAATCGAGCTATTTAATCGACTTATAATTCTCTATATCACGTTATACAATAGTTTTCACCCCGTATATACGCGCGAGTAAAACCACATAAAATTGTCGAATATTCTTCAAATATGTACATTATTTATTAAAAAGAAATAAAGATAGACAGGGAGGGAGAGAGAAAGAAGGATTGAAATATATTTCATAGTATAAATAATGTCGTAACAATACTAATAATTCGTATAAATATTCGTATTTATAAATTAACATTAAGGCGCGCGCTCCGTACGTGCTGCGTGCGATAACCTTGGCCGCGCTGATAGCTGACAGCGCGCGACTGCGCAGTTCGAGTCGAGCTACCGCCGCGGTCGGACGATCTCGCGCGCGTCGCGCGTTTTCTCGCATCTGTCGTGTATTTTGTCGCGAGTCGAATGACAGACGCGTGCGGAAGTACGGGACACGCGTGACGATTGATATGTCGATCGAATCGCGATCGGAACGATGTGAAAATACGTCGCGGGTTTTGTTAATAAAGTTGAAAGTAAACTTTTTCAAACGCGACGTGTGCGCCGCGTACCGTAGTCAGTGTTCTCAACAGTGCAACCGGAAAGTGCGCGAGTAGCTGTCAGTGGTGCCACGTGTCAAACGTGAAAATCGCGCAGTCGCGAAAAGGAGCGAGAAAGTCGTTCGTCGTTGAGTGAAGTTTTTTTCAAGCTACGCAAACGCGTAATGCATCGCGAGTGTATATGTGTATTGTGCGTCGGAATAAATGATTGTCTACAAGGATACATAGACAATCGTCGCGGCGGAGCTCGGAATAATTTCAGAAATTGGACGCTTCCTCGCAAGTAGGAATAAGTGAAGTTTGCCGCAAATTTCGTCGATTCAAGCGACACCTTATTATTGCTAAAACGCAGTCGCGATAAAGACGCGCCGAGTGAAAACAAGGAAGAATATCACATATATTTGTTTTCGCGAAGGACTGAGAAGCGGCGCGTACGTATTAATAAAACTAATTAAAACTATTGAAAATAAATATTGCCTGCGAGCGAGTATAAAATCGGAAAAACATATCAGAAAAGTTTTTATTAAATTTGTTCGCAGACTCGTTTTTAAATACTCTACAATCGCTGCAAAACATGTTGACAATCTCACCGTGGATTTGCGCGAACCCGAGAATCGCGTGTTTAGTGTATTTTCGTAAATTCTTCGCCTAGAATGAAGGTTTTTTTCCCGAGTCGTAAAATTTTAAAACGGTACGTGTGTATCGCGTCGCGAGTGTGCTTGAGTTTGTGCGAATAGAGTGTGAAGAGAGAATCGGCGATAAGCAGGTGGTCTTCGTGGCTGAGCTCGGGCTGCTTCTGAGAATTGAACGAGTCGAGGGTAAGCTTGAATTTCTTGTAGTCACAATTGTTATGTCTTCGTTGCTGTTAGTCTTCGACTTTTCACGTTTTCCGATCAAGATAAATTTTCTGCGGCACTTCTCGTAATATATTTTCTAAACCAAATAAATTTTACGATTATATGTATAATTATACAATTATTTATATATAATTATATATAAAAAATTTTTACCGGGTTTCCGTACTGACATATAATCTCGTAAAGCTTGATAAAATCTTTAGTATTTTTTTTATTACGTTTATTTTTTTATCGGTCTAATTTTTTAATATCTTGTATAAATAATTATATAAATAATTATATATTTTAATTAAATAAACTAATAATATCGTTCCTATCTCTTCGTCCTTCTGTAAAAGAAGCCTGTCGGTATCGGATATACTGTTCTCGAAATGCGGTCCGGAATCTCTCTTCAATTTACTATTAAGAGAAAAAACAACAAGCGTATTTATCCTCGATTCTCCGAAAAGGAGACTGTAAAGATTAGCAAATGCAATTAAAGCATAAGTGACAGGAAGACAATATATCATGCACTCTTTGACTATAGAAAATATCTATTTTACATTATTCAATTTTTCTTGAAAGGATTAATGCAAAACTAATTTTCGATTTAATTACCATACGTCAGAATAATCGTACAGACTATGCGAACTCAACGCGGATGTTTGTGAATAAATCTCAATTCTAGATTTTTAGTTACTATGTTTCCCTCTGATCCCCTTAAAAAGATGTAGAAAAGCAAAATATATCGGTCCAGAAGTTGCTGAATCGGGAACTTAGGAATTAAAATAGAGATTCTAAAATTGAGAACCAAGTTGAGATTTATTCCTAAATAATCTTATTGTTAGCACTATGCAAATTCCGTGCTTCGTGCACAATTATAAGACATAGGGGAAAAATTAATTTTTCTTATCTAACGCACAAACCTTCGCCTTCGGTTCGCATACCCTTGTTTATTTCGAGACTAACTTTCTTATTCATTAAGTATATTTGTTCATTTATTTTTCAAAAGTTTATATTAATCACTAAAAAAAACTAAATAATAATATTTATATTTATCGGTTTTTCATTTACTCTTTTGGTAGCTTTTGAAGAGGTGCAGAGATATTATAAAAAAATTAAAATAAATATCATATTAATTTAAAAGAATTATTTATCTTATTAAATTTTGCGTTTTAGAATGACCTTAAATGTGTTTTATATCCAAGTGTGGAGTATATTTGCTGTTCTAAGCATGTATGTTTCAATTATGTTTTTTTATATTTTCAGATATATATAAAAAAGTTTGGTATAAGTCTTTGTACAATTATCTGATTTTAATATATTTCCTGATATAGAATAAGAAGGCCGCACACTTAAAACATTATGTATAAATTTCTTTATGCTTTATTTTTATATGATATATCACATATGTATCGATAGATAATAGGATGTAATTTTTCATCACAGATATCGCATCCTCCACGTTGTTTGTTATACCTTCTAAAATAATGCTACATCCATTGAAGAGATCCTCTGCATAATTGATACGATGAAAACATTCTTCGTTAATAGTTATGTTAAACTTTGTTATGATTTTTATTCCATTAAATTTATGTTCTTCTTTTGATTGTCTAACAAAATTAGTTAAAATATTTTACATCATGACAAATGCGCCGCATAATAAAATCAAAGAATGAATTTATAAATTTAAAAAATACAGCACAGACATTTAAATGAATGTTCAGATTATTAATTTTAATTCAATTAAATTTGTTAAAACTTATTTCAATTTATAAATACAAATATTTATATGAATTATTAGTATTGTTAAGACATTATTTATAATATGAAATATATTTCAATCTTTCTACCTCTCTTTCTTTCTGTTTATCTTTCGTTCTTTTTAATAAATAATGTGTAATATTTAAGAATTTCGACAATTTTATGTAGTTCACTCGCGCGTATATACGGGGTGTAAATTATTATATACCGTGATGTAGAAGATTATATATTGTTTAAATCGCTCGATCACTGAAGAAACATATTTGTAAAATTAATAAGTTTATATTTGAAAAATAAAATTTAAGATGAGTGTCCTAACAGAAGTTTAAAAGAAACGGAAATTAAAGTGTTACATTTTAATGACATTAAATGTGTTCTGTGCCCAAATGCGGAGTATATTTGCTGTCTCATCACTAAGCATGTGTTCCTCAATTATGTGTTTTTTATATTTTCAGATATATAAAAAAATTTTTTTTTGTATAAGTCTTTGTACAATTACCACATTTTAATATATTTTAATTTATATTTAACGTTGTTCGTTATGTTTCTTAAACTAATGCCTCATCCATTGAAGATATTCTCTACATAAAAAGAAGATATAATTTGTTGGAATTAGTCAAATTTTAAAGTCTTGCTTGAATCTTGCACAAATTTTTAAAATCTGCAATTATCATACAATATATCATACAAAATCTAATATCATTAATACGTTTTTATTGTCTTCTTCAACTTAAAAGTATTATATATATTTCAAAACATAATAATCATTGTCTTTTATTAATATACCTGTTTTACTTATACAAATGCAACACTATCGTTTATAAAAGTTTCAAAATATTAGATATTAATAAATGGTAAATTTTAATTATGTCATATTTTGCATATACTTGAAGTATTAAAAAGAAGTTCATAAATTAATTAATTTTTAAACATTTTTAAATTTATAAATTTTACTGCACCAATTCAAATTCTTGCAATCACAATTTTTCTAATTTTATTGTTTATATTAATAAATACAATAAATATAGTAGAGAACGATAAATACATTTTATTCGTCGTTGATTCTCAATTGACATTGCATACAAAAATAGGGCATAGTATTTCTCTACAAAAGTCGAACATATATATGTATGTACATATATATGCGTCAATATAACATCTGTCTATTATGTTGATCCATGCAACTATGGCATATTTTACGTTTTTATTATTTGTGTTACTATTTAAAACAAAATCTAAGACACAAACTGTAAAATTTGTACTTTAATTGATTTTTTGTGAGTAAATGTTTCAATAAACACTAAATCACGTTAATTTATAAAAATTGTAAATTATACATATTGTTATGTAAAAGAATTGTTATCTAAAAGAATCTCACAATGTTCAATATTTTTACAATTGTATATATTATATACTAATATGCGATTGTTAGTGCACGGATGTACTTTACTCATATTGTACTCATATTTCTTAAAACATGATGACAAAAATAGATACAGATGCAGGCTTATATGCTACTCAAAACACGGACATATGATATCTTGAAACTGTTTGTAAAAAATGTCATTATGAGTATACATAAATATGCTCAAATTAATATAATTACTCACATTTTGCATCATATGTATATAATTTGCACTCATAATACTTATCATCATAATATGATTACAAAAGATAAAATACATTTTAATCATATCAGAAGTTCTTATATAAAGCTCTATTTAATTATTTCCAGATAAAAGCAAAGCTCTTATTATATATGTATGTTCTTTTATAAATGCGGCAACGATATTTGTTGTATACACCAACATCTAAAAAAATTAATTAAACATGAATATAAAGACGACATGTAAACAAAAATGTAATTATAAATTAGAAAATGAGAAATTGCACATTTCTCTTCTTTCTATACATATTTAGTGTAAGTTAAATAAGTAATTTTCAACCTTTCTAGTTGTTAAGACTCGTCCCCAAATTAATGATCGATTATCAGTATGACAATTCGGGTAATCCTTGTATTTTATGTAAAATTTTCGTGCATTTTCTAAATTATCCGTGACGCTGTAAACAATTAAAATATTACTTTAATCATTATGAACATTTTATATAAAAAATTATATATGCATGCGTATAATAAAAAAAAAAGGAAGATTATTGAGAAATAATAATAATGTCGATTCTAATATATATCTATACTTACAATTTTGGTTTCCAAAATATATCGAAATTATCGATAATATGTAGTACTCGTACATCGCAACGTAGACCAAGTCTTCTAGCCACGCTATGAAATATTGTATATACAATGATATCTTTACCAAATTTACTTTGTAAAACCTATGCCAGGTATAATACAGGATAAATTAATCAAAGCGACAGAATATTAAGAACAACATATAACATAAACATATATGGTCCATAATTATATATGTATTATAATCTATAATATCTTACATAATCTATACACAAATATTTGATATTTTCGGGTGAGGAGATACATGGTCGAAAATTCAAAGTGCCAAATATATATTCCTGGAGTGTATCCATAATCTGCGTGCTTTCTGTTTCATTCCAATGATTATCTTCGATATTGTTGGTTTTCCAATAAGAAAAAGTTTCATCAGAAGTGAAGAATATCGAATGGTTCGGATGCTTCTTTCTAAGAGAATTCAGTATCTCTTGTGCGATTGTATCCAATGATGCACTTATATTCGTGTAACATACATATTTTCGAGGTTGAATACGTTGTGCTATGAAAGTACAAATTTCTTCCAAAAGCTGTTCTTCTTCAGGTTTCACACTATATCTGTCTAACTCATTTCGTATCCAAGATAGCTTTTCATAGTGAGACATTTCTATATTGCAATATTCTTCGATTGATTTGCGATCAATTCCTTTAAAAATTTGTATATATTGAATTATTAACTAATGAATAAATACATTAAATTGTAATAATAGTAGCATTATAATATATATGAAGATTCTACTGTGGAAATTGTGTTAACAAGAATTTAAACTCCTCAATATAAAACATATTTTTTAGCACATGTATATGCTCATGTGTACTTTTAGGAACAATAAATTGATTTTTATATTCATCGATATTACCGCTGAATTTCATGACATTTTCGAATGTTAATACATTAGCACTTAAGTCGAAGTAATTTTGATTTGCTCTATTATTGTAATAATCGTAAAAAAGAATTTGAGACAAATCATTTCGCAATTGAATCACAGATATTATGCCTTCTGTAACAAAGTTTATGTTTTTTCTATCTGTTGTTTCCTTAAGACTTTCATATTTTTTCTTTGCATAGGGCCATCTAAAATACGACCATAAAATATTGTAATAAATTTTTGATAATGATACTTAGTGTTGTGTCAAGATTATTTTAAAATTAGCTAGATAAAGATGAGAGATAAAAGTATGTAATTCATCTTAGATAGGATAAAGATGATTTTGTTTTAAGTATATCTAGACAAAATATATATTTATATGGCGATATATCTAGATAATTGTTTAGATAATAATATTTAAGATTGCTTACGTAAACACAGTTATACAAAACACATAAATTATAAAAGGAATACAATAATATATGTATTTATATTTTTATTTATAAATTTTTATCGCTTTACTGTTTACTTTAAGTATTTTTAAGTGCAATGATTCTACACCAAAATGATCTAAAAATGTTTTAGATAAATTATATACTAAAGATAATATTTTTTTATCTAAAATGCAGATATAAAGATAATTCATATTTTTATTATTTATATGCAGATAAGATGACGCCATAGTTCTTCCATTTAATTTTATTTAGATAACACACAGCAAACTTTGATGATAGTAAACAATGTGATTGCACAAGTAATTTTTCAAATTAATAAATTTTTTGAAGTATACAATTTAAAGCATGAGTACATGTATGTGACTTCTTTTTACTTTAATTTAATCAATAAATTTGTAATAAATAATAGTCAATTTTAATTTGTAATTAAATTTATATTTTCAAATTTTGATTCTAATATGTATATAATGCATAATGCAATCTGTAAGTGTATTCTATATGCAATTAATAAACATTAATGTTGCTTATGTGTATGTATGTAATTAAATTTATTTAATTAATACACATTATAATTTTTGTTATTCTCAAACTATACCAATTATATGGTCGAAACATTGTTATTAATTAAGACGAATGTTTAAGTAGCTGAAAATTAAGAATTATTATCAGTATATTATATTTAACGTTTACATTCCATATATATATATATATATATATGTATATGTATATATATATATATAATAACGGTAGAGTTTGCCAAAATTATTGAGCAATAGAAAAAAATGAAAGCGAATAATTTAATATACAACATAAATGCAACATATCTAATTTTTCGAATATTTTTTATTAATTATTTATTTATAATATACGTTTTTCGCAGGAGTGATATACATTGTGCGACAGGCGTTAATGAGACAAAATAACAAAAAGATTTACAAACCGCAAGAATTACTTTTGAGATAACTTTTTTTCGAAGAACTTGTCATATTTGGCTGCATAACGAAATTGCTTGTACACGCATCGAAAGTTAATATCTTCAATAGTGAGTACATTATCGTCGAGAATGTGGCTTATCATCTCCTCTGGTAAGTACGTTATCTTCCAATCAGACATTATGAGAACCGAAACACAAAAAGGAATGTAAATTAAAGTATTGCAATAAACTATTCGCGTAATTCCTTGTTTTTCGCAGTACAAGAAATGAGTCTGCCGATTACGAAGAGCACAGATGTGTGTTTGATGTACACGAGAGACGTTTTCCACACTGTAGACGTTCTGTTCTTTATTATAAAATTTGACCTTAAATTTTGAAGCATTATTGCTTGTTTTCACTAAGATATAGGTATAAGAACTTGCCACGGCATGCGCAGAAAATGTAATTTAGAACTAGCAAACCGTTTCTTCCTATGCGTTTGAAAGAACGTGGTAAATAATTTATTTATTATTTATTTTGTTATCATTTTTTATTTATTTATTGTTCTCTATATAAGCTGAATTAAAATAATAAATTTTTTTCAAATTTATCAGTTATTTCAAATTTTACTAATTTTTATGTATTTATATTTTGTATTATTTAAGATTAATTAATTATTTCATTTCAAATTATCAATTATTATATTAAATTTTACCAATAATATTCATGTATTTATATTTTACAGTTTAAAACTCCAGTGTTGTGCATTGTCAAAATTTCTTGATAAGAGAGAAAGAGAAAAAGAGAGATTTACTTTTTTTTTTATATGCAATCTTTACAGATAAAATTCTCAGCTAAAATAAAATCGTCGACTTACAATACAAATATTTAATAATTGATGTATGTACATAGTTTATATAAGACTATTCTATAAAATTATGTAGTTTTATTTGCGCGTATATACGGGGTGTATATATTCTAGAAATATAAATTCTATAAGAATATAAAAACTCCATGGATTAAATGCAAATTCAAAATGAACAGATTATGCGACTTCATCGCGGATGTTTGTGAATAAATCTCAGTTCGAGATTTTAATTTTTATGTTTCCCTCTGATCCCCCTAAAAAGTTGTAAAAAAGCAAAGTATATCGGTCCTAAAGTTACTGAATCGGGAACTTAGGAATTAAAATAGAGATTCTAAAATTGAGAATCAAGTTGAGATTTATTCCTAAATAGTTTTATTGTAAGCACTATGCAAATTCCGTGCTTCGTGCACAATTATAAGACATAGGGGAAAAATTAATTTTTCTTATCTAACGCACAAACCTTCGCCTTCGGCTCGCATACCCTTGTTTATTTCTAGACTAACTTTCTTATTCATTAAGTATATTTGTTTATTTATTTTTCAAAAGTTTATATTAATCACTAAAAAAACTAAATAATAATATTTATATTTATCGGTTTTTCATTTATTCTTTTGGTAGCTTTTTGAGAGGTGCAGAAATATTATGAAAAAAAATTGAAATAAATATCACATTAATTTAAAAGAATTATTTATCTTATTAAATTTGTCGCAAATCTTGCTTTTCAGAATGACCTTAAATGTATTTTATATCCAAGTGTGGAGTATATTTGCTGTTCTAGGCATGTGTGTTTCAATTATGTTTTTTTCATATCTTCAGATATACAATATATAAAAAATTTGGTATAAGTCTTTGTACAATTATCTGATTTTAATATATTTTCTGAAATAGAATAAGAAGGCCGCACACTTGAAACATTATGTATAAATTTCTTTATGCATTATTCTTATAGGATATATTACAAATGTATCGATAGATGATAGGATGAAATTTTTATCACAGATATCGCATGCTCCACGTTGTTTGTTATACCTTCTAAAATAATGCCACGTCCATTGAAGAGCTTTTTGCATAATTGATACGATGAAAACATTCTTCGTTAATAGTTATGTTAAACTTTGTTATGATTTATATTTCATTAAATTTATGTTCTTCTTTTGATTGTCTAACGAAATAAGTTAAAATATTTCAATTCACATCATGATAAATGCGCCGCATAATAAAATCAAAGAATGAATTTATAAATTTAAAAAATACAGCGCAGACATTTAATTTAATGTTCAGATTTTTAATTTTAGTTTAATTAAATTTGTTCAAATTTATTTCAATATATAAATACAAATAATTATATGAATTATTAGTATCGTTACGACATTATTTATAATATGAAATATATTTCACTCTTTCTTCCTCTTTCCCTCTCTACCTATCTTTCTTTCTTTTAATAAATAATGTACAACTTTTAAGAATTTCGAAAATTTTATGTAGTTTATTCGCGCGTATATACGGGGTGTAAACTATTATATAACGTGATATAGAGGATTATATATTGTTTAAATCGCTCGATCACTGAAGTAACATATTTGTAAAATTAATAAATTTATTTTTGAAAAATAAAGTACAAGATGAGTGTCCTAACAGAAGTTTAAAAGAAACGGAAATTAAAGTGTTACATTTTAATGACATTAAATGTGTTCTGTGCCCAAATGCGGAGTACATTTGCTGTCTCATTACTAATTGTAAGCATGTGTTTCTCAATTATGTGTTTTTTATATTTTCAGATATATAAAAAATTGTCTTTTATTAAACATTGTTGTTTATTAATATACCTGTTTTTACTTAAACAAATGCAACACTATCGTCGACAAACGTTTCAAAATATTGGATATTAATAAATGGTAAATTTTAATTATGTCATATTTTGCATATACTTAAAGTATTAAAAAAATGTTCATAAATTAATTAATTTTTAAACATTTTTAAATTTATAAATTTTACTGCACCAATTCAAATTCTTGCAATCACAATTTTTCTAATTTTATTGTTTATATTGCATATATTGAAAGTGTTAAAAAAAGTTATTAAACTAATTAAATTTTTATTTTCAAGATTTATTAATTCTTCTGCACTAATTCAAATTCTTGCAATTACAATTTTTCTTATTTTAATGTTTATATTAATTAATACAATGAATAAAGCAGAGAACAATAAATATATTTTATTCGTTGATTCTCAATTGATATTGCATACAAAAATGGGACATAGTATTTCTCTACAGAAGTCGAACATATACGTGTATATACATGTATATGTCAATATAACATCTGTCTATTATGTTGGTCCATGCAACTATGGCATATTTTACGTTTTTATTTATTTGTGCTACTATTTGAAACAAAATATAAGACACAAACTGTAAAATTTGTACTTTAATTGATTTTTTGTGAATAAATGTCTGAATAAACACTTAACCACGTTAAATTATAAAAAGTTGTAAATTATACATATTGTTATTTAAAAGAATTGTTATCTAAAAGAATCTCACAACGTTCAATATTTTACAATTGTATATATATTATATACTAATATGCGATTGTTAGTGCGCGGATGTACTTTACTCATATTGTACTCATATTTCTTAAAACATGATGACAAAAATAGACACAGATGCAGGCTCATATACTACTCAAAACACGGACATATTATGATATCTTGAAACTGTTTGCAAAATACGTCATTATGAGTATATATAAATATGCTCAAATTAATATAATTACTCACATTTTGCATCATATGTATATATAACTTGCATTCATAATACCCTATCATCATATATGATTACAAAACATACAATACATTTTAATCATATCAGAAGATCTTATATAATGCTCTATTTAATTATCTTCATATAAAAGCCATTTTCTTATTATATATATATGTGCCCTTATAAATGCGTCAACGATATTTGTTGTGAACTCCAACATCTAAAAAAATTAATTATACATGAATATATAGACGACATGTAAACAAAAATGTAATTATAAATTAAAAAATAAGAGATTGCACATTTCTCTTCTTCCTATACATATTTAGTGTAATTTATTGGTTCTTTGTAATTTTACAACTATATTAATAACTTAAAATTATTAGAAGTAATAAATAAGTAATTTTCAACCTTTCTAATTGTTAAGGCTGGTCGCCAATTTAATCTATTATCAGTAAGACAATTCGGGTAATCCTCGTTTGTTATGTAAAAGTTCGTGCATTTTTAAATTATCCGTGACGCTGTAAACAATTAAAATATTACTTTAATCATTATGAACATTTTTATAATAAAAAATTATATATGCATGCGTATAATAAAAAAAGAAAGATTATTGAGAAATAATAATAATGTCAATTCTAATATATATTTATACTTACAATTCTGGTTTCCAGAATATATAGAATTCATTTTCAATATCTAGTACATCGCAACGTAGACCAAGTCTTCTAGCCACCCTATGAAATATTGTATATACAATGATATCTTTACCAAATTTACTTTGTAAAACCTATGCCAGGTATAATACAGGATAAATTGATCAAAACGAGAGAATATTAAGAACAATATATAATATATACATATATGGCCCATAATTATATATATTATAATCTCTAACTTACATAATCTATACAAATCCATTTGATATCTTCGGGTGGAAATGAGGAGATACATGCTCGAAAATTCAAGATGCTAAATATATATTTCTGGAGTGTATCCATAATCTGCGTACTTTCTGTTTCATCCCAATGATTATCTGCGATATTGTTGGTTTTCCATTAGGAAAAAGTTTCTTCAAAAGTGGAGAATATCGAATGGTTCGGATGCTTCACTCTGAGACAATTCAGTACCTCTTGTGCGATTGAATCCAATGATGCACTTACATTTGTGTAACATACATCTTTTTGAACTTGAATATATTTTGCCACGAAAGTACAAATTTCTTCCAAAAGCTGTCTCTTTCAGGTTTCTTTATATATCTGTCCAACTCATTTCGTATCGAAGATAGCTTTTCATAGTGAGACATTTCTATATTGCAAAATTTTTGGATTGAATTGCGATCAATTTTCCTAAAAAATTTATATATATTAAATTATTAACTAATGAATAAATACAATAAATTGTAATAATAGTAGCATTATAATATATATGAATATCCTACTGTGGAAATTGTGTTAACAAGCAGTTAATCTCCTCAATATAAAACATACATTTCAGCACATTTATAGGCTTACGTGTACGTCTAAGAACAAGTTTATTTTCATTCAAACATTTTGCACATTCAACGAAATCATCACTGAATTTTTTTACATAATAGAATTCCAATACTACATTATTAATAAATTATTGAAATAATTTTGATTTGATATTTTATTGTAATAATAATCATGAAAAGAATTAGAGACAAATAATTTCGCAATTGTGTCGCAGAATTTATGCCTATTGTGACAAAGTTTAGGTTTTCTCCATCCTTTGTTTTTTTAAGAACATCATATCTTTTCTTTGCATAGGGCCATTAAAATACGACCATAAAATATTGTAATAAATTTTTGATAATGATTCTTAGTCTTGTGTCGAGATTAATTAAAATTAGCTGGATAAAGATCCTAAAAAGATAAGGATCCCTTATAAAAGAGATACAACAATATATGTATTTATATTTTTATTTATAAATTTTTATCGTATTTCTGTCTACTTTAAGTATTCATATGTGCTATGATTCTAAACCAAATTTATCTGAAAATTATTCTAGATAAATAATATAGTAAAGGTAGTACTTTTTTTTATCTACTTGTAAGATGCAGATAAAAAGATAATACATATTTATATTATCTATATGCAGATAAGACGACGCCACAGTTCTTCCATTTAATTTTATTTAGATACACACAGCAAACTTTGATGATAGTAAACAATATGATTGCACAAATAATTTTTCAAATTAATAAATTTTTGAAGTAGACAATTCAAAGCATGAGTATATATATATGTCATTTCTTTTTGTATTTAATCAGAAAAAGAAAGTATATATAAGTTAATTTTAATTTGTAATTTAATTTATACTTTTCACATTTTGATTTCAATATGTATATTGCATAATTTTATAAGTGTATTCTGTATGCAGTTAATAAACATTAATGTGCCTATGTGTATGTATGTATAAATTAAGTTTTTTTTAATATTTTGTAGAACAATTTGTTCGAAAGCATATTTACAAACAATGTCGACTGTGCTTATATATGTCACTTGGCATGTTTTTAATTTTAGAAAGATTTTATTGCGATTTCAATGCTATTTATGAAAAAGGGCCGATAGAAAAATATCAAATCTGTTTGTTTCTATCACGAATATATATCATATATATAATTTTTATATTTAAAAATGCAATTAAATATATTGAAGAATACACATTATAATAAATAAACCAAGTTACTTTTATGTTGTATTTTTAAATAAAATCTAAAAAAAAATAATATAATGACAGAATATTTTTCGACATATATATATATATATATATATATAGGCTGATTATATTTATTTAATTAATCACACAACGTTTCATATAATTTTTGTTATTCTCAAGTGTTACTGTTAAGTGTGCGAAAGACCAAAATTATATCGTCGAAACACCGTGGTCGAAACGTTGTGTGATTAATTAAATAAACATCAATTGACGAATGTTGGTTGAAAAATATTTGGTCTTTTAATCTTGACAGCCGAGAATTAAGAATTCTTATTAGTATATTATATTTAACGTTTACATTCCATATATATATATATATATATATATATGTATATTATATATGTATATATATAATGTAGGTAGAGTTGCTAAAATTATTGAGCAATGTTTGCAAATTGAGAAAAAAACGAAAGCGAATAATTTATATGCAACATAAATGCAACATATCTATTTTTTTGATATTTTTTATTATATATTTATTTATAATATACGTTCTTCGCAGAAGTGATATACATTGTGCGACAGGCGTTAATGAGACAAAATAACAAAAAGATTTACAAATCACAAGAATTACCTTTGAGATAACTTTTTTCCAAGAACTTGTCATATTTGGCTGCATAACGAAATTGCTTGCACACGCATCGAAAGTTGATGATATCTTCAATAGTGAGTACATTATCGTTGAGTATGTGGCTTATCATCTCCTCTGGTAAGCACGTTATCTTATAATCAGACATTATGAGAAACAAAACACAAAAAAGGAATATAAATTAATTGATTGCAATATATTATTCGCGTAATTAATCCCTTGCTTTTCGCAGTACACGAAATGCGTCTGCCGATTACAAAGAGCACAGATGTGTGTTTGATGTACACGAGAGACGTTTTCCACACTGCAGACGTTTTGCTCTTTATTATTAAATTTGACCTCAAATTTTAAAGTATTATTACTAATTTTCAATAAGATACAGGTATATAAGGACTTGGCACGGCATGCGCAGAAAATGTAATTTAGAACTAGCAAATTTACCATTTCTTCCTATGCACTAGTATAATAGAACGTGGTAAATAATTCATTTATTATTTAATTTATTATCACTATTTATTTATTTATTGTTCTTTTTATTATTTAAGCTTAATTAAAATAATATATTTTTCAAATTTGTCAATTATTTTAAATTTCACTAATTTTCATGTATTTATATATATTATGTAATATTTAAGTTTAATGAAAATAATATCATTTAAATTATTAATTATTTTATTAAAATTTACTAATTTTAATATATTTATTTTTACACTTTACAACTGCAGTGCTGTGCATTGTGTCGACTTTTTATTTTAATTTGGAGTTTTAATAATTTTGTGAAAATCATGGATAAGAGAGAAATATGGATCGCAAATAATGAGTTTGGAACAAAAATGAAAAAATACTTTTACCTAACGCGTGACGGTTATTTTTTGTTCAAAATACAAAACTTGACAAATTTTTGCACAGCAATTTTAGATTTGCATGAATTTGCAATAAATTTGCAATTATACTAATATCATACAAAATCTAATATCATTTATAAGCTTTTATCGTCTCTTTCAATACAAAAAAATTATGTATATTTGAAAATATAAAAATCATTGTCTTTTATTAACGTACCTATTTATACTTATACAAATGCAACACACTATCGATTATATAAGTTTCAAAATAATAGATATTAATAGATGGCAAATTTATTACGTCATATTTTGCATATACTTAAAGTGTTAAAAAAAGTTATTAAATTAATTAATTTTTTTATTTTAAGATTTATTAATTTTTTGCACCAATTCAAATTGTTGCAGTCACAAAATTTTCTTACTTTATTATTTATGATAATTTATACAATAAATATCGCAGAAAAATAATAGATATATTTATTCATCGTTGATTCTCAATTGTCGAACATGTATGTATATATGTATATGTCAATAACATCCTATTATCTATTATGTTGGTCTGAATCTGTAGATTGATCTGTAGGTGGATTATATATTATGATAATTTCTACAGCATATTTCACGTTTTCATTTATGTGTTCTACTATTTAAAATAAGACAGAAACTGTAAAATTTTTACTTTGATTTTTGTGAATAAATGTCTCAATAAACACTTAATTCAAGTTAATATAGAAAATTGTAAATTATACATAATTGTTATCTGAAAATATCTCACAATGCCCTTTATTTTTACAATGGTATATGTTATACACTAACTAGCGATTATGTTAGGGCGCGTATGTTTTTTACACATTACAATTCACTTTGGAACTAATCCCAAATTGCTTATTTTGTCCCGATATAAACAATTCAACAAAAATCTTTTATCATGTCCAACATCTGAAAAAGTTAATTAAACATGAATAAAGATTAAATGTAAACAAGGATCTAATTATAAATTAAAAAATGAGAAATGTACATTTCTCTTCTTTCTATACACATAAAATGTAATTTATTAATTCCTTGTCAATTTACAAATATATTAATAACTTAAAATTAATAGAAGTAATAAATAAGTTTTAACCTGTTCAGTTCTTATTTTGATGATGTCATGATGTGTACAAGACTTGTAATCTGATAGATAATCATGAAGACAATTCGGAAAATTCTCGTCTTTTATATAAAAACATCGTGCATTTTCGAAATTATTCGTGACGCTGTAAACAATTAAAATTTTATCTTAATCATATGAAAAAAAAAAAAAAAATTATATACGTATGCGTATAATAAGAAAAGAAAAATTATCGAGAAATAATGATAATGTCGATTCTAAATATATCTATACTTACCATTTTTGTTTCCAAAATACACAGAATCGATTAAAAACCTGTAGTACATCGCAACGTAGACCAAGCCTTCTAGCCACGCTATGAAATATTGCATATACAATGATATCTTGACCATATTTGGTTGTAAAACCTGAGCCAGGTATAATACAGAACAAATTGATCAAAGCGAGAGAATATTAAGAACAGTATATAATATATACATATATGGTCCATAATTATATATATTATAATCTCTAATAACTTACATAATCTATACAAATCCATTTGATATCTTCGGGTGCAAATGAGGAGATACATGCTCGAAAGTTCAAGATGCTAAATATATATTCCTGGAGTGTATTCATAATCTGCGTACTTTCTGTTTCATCCCATTGATTATCTGCGATATTGTTGGTTTTCCAATAGGAAAAAGTTTCTTCAGAAGTGGAGAATATCGAATGGTTCGGATGCTTCACTCTGAGACAATTCATACCTCTTGTGCGATTGAATCCAATGATGCACTTACATTCGTGTAACATACATCTTTTCGAGGTTGAATACCTTGTGCTATGAAAGTACAACTTCTTCCAATAGCTGAACGCGTTCAAGTTTTACTTTTATATCTGTCCAACTCATTTCGTATCGAAGATAGCTTCTCATAGTGAGACATTTCTATATTACAAAATTCTTGGATTGAATTGCAATCAATTTTCCTAAAAATTTATATATTAAATTATTAATTAATGAATAAATACAATAAAAATTGTAATAATAGTAGCATTATAACATATATGAAGATCATACTGTGGAAATTGTGTTAACAAGCATTTAATCTCCTCAATATAAAACATATATTTCAGCACATTTATAGGCTTATTTATACGTTTAAAAACAAGTAGATTTTCATTCAAACGGTTTGCATATTTATCGATATTACCACTGAATTTTTTTACATCATCGAATTCTCCAATACTACATTATTAATTGAATCATCGAAATATTTTGATTTGATTTTTTATTGTAATAATAATCATGAAAAAGAATTAGAGACAAATAATTTCGTAATTGTGTCGCAGAATTTATGCCCATTGTAACAAAGTTTATGTTTCTTCATTTTCTTCTTTTTAAGTCTTTCATATCTTTTCTTCGTAAAGGGCCATCTGAAATATGACCATAAAATATTGTAATAAATATTTGATAATGATACTTAGTGTTGTGTCAAGATTATTTTAAAATTAGCTGGATAAAGGTGAGATAAAAGTATGAAAATTCATCTTAGATAGGATAAAGATGATTTTGTTTTAAGTATATCTAGATAAAAGATATAATTATATGACGAATTATTTAGATAATTGTTTAGATAATAATTTTAAGGCTGTTTATGTAAACACAGTTATACAAAAAATATAAATTATAAAACGGATACAACAATATATTATATTTTTATTTTATAAATTTTTATCGCTTTTCTGTCTACTTTAAGTATTCTTATGTGCTATGATTCTAAACCAAAATTATTTGATATTATTTTAGATAAATAATATAGTAAAAGTAGTATTTTTTTTATCTACTTGTAAGATGCAAATATAAAAGATAATACATATTTTTATTATCTATATGCAGATAAGATGACGCCATAGTTCTTCTATTTAATTTTATTTAGATAACACACAGCAAACTTTGATGATAGTAAACAATGTGATTGCACAAGTAATGTTTTCAAATTAATAAATTTTTTGAAGTATACAATTTAAAGCATGAGTACATGTATGTCAATTCTTTTTATACTTTAATCAGAAAAATTAAAATATGTAACATTCAATATTAATTTGTAATAAATTTATACTTGGATGAATAACATTGTTTTAAATTTATTTTTAACTACATATTCTTAAAAGTATAATTAAAACTATATTTTCAAATTTTGATTTTAATATGTATATTTCGTAATTCTATACGTGTACTCGTATTTCTATATGGAATTAGTAAACATTAATGTGCGTGTGTGTATGTATGTATATATTAGGTTCTTTTTAATATTTTGTACAATAATTTTTTCAAAAGCATATTTACATACAATGTCGACTGTGCTTATATATGTTATTGGCACGTTTTTACTTTTATAAAGATTTTATTGTGAATTCAATGCTATTTATAAAAAAGAACCGATAGAAAAATATCAAATCTGTTTGTTTCTATCACAAAATATATATCATATATATAATTTTTATATTTAAAAATGCAATTAAATATATTGAAGAATACACATTATAATAAATAAACCAAGTACTTTTATGTTGTATTTTTAATAATTAAATTTAAAAAAAATTATTTAATGACTGAATATTTTTCGACCGATATATATATAGGCTAATTAATATTTATTTAATTAATCACACAACGTTCTTATAATTTTTGTTATTCTCAAATGTTACTGTTAAGTGTGCGAAGGACCAAAATTATATGGTCGAAACACCGTGGTCAAAACATTGTGTGATTAATTAAATAAACATCAATTGACAAATGTCGGTTGAAAAATATTTGGTCTTTTAATTTATGACAGCCGAAAGTTAAGAGTTCTTATCAGAATATTATATTTAACGTTTACATATATATATATATATATATATATATATGTATATGTATATTATATATGTATATATATAACGGGTAGAGTTTGCCAAAATTATTGAGCAATAGAAAAAATGAAAGCGAATAATTTAATATGCAACATATCTAATTTTTCTAATATTTGTATTTGTTATATATTTATAATATACGTTCTTCGCAGAAGTGATATACATTGTGCGACAGGCGTTAATGAGAAAAATAACAAAAAGATTTACAAATCACAAGAATTACTTCTGAAATAACTTTTTTCCAAGAACTTGTTATATGTGGTTGCTGCATAACGAAATTTCTTGCACACGCATCGAAAGTTAATGATATCTTCAATAGTGATAACATTATAGCCGAGAATGATGGCTATGATTCTTTCTGGTAAGCTCGTTATCTTACAATCAGACATTATGAAAAACGAAAACACAAAAAGGAATATAAATTAAAGTGATTGCAATATACTATTCGCGTAATTAATTCCTTGCTCTTTGCAGTACACGAAATGAGTCTGCCGATTACAAAGAGCACAGATGTGTGTTTGATGTACACGAGAGACGTTTCCACACTACGGACGGTCTGTTCTTTATTATTAAATTTGACCCCAAATTTTATAGTCTTATTGCTGTTTTCACTAAGATACAGGTATAAGAATTTGTCACGGCATACGCAGAAATGTAATTAAGAACTAGTAAAAATTACAACTTTTTCTGTGCACTTGAAAGATAGAACGTGGTAAATAATTTATCTCTAAAAACTCACCTTTAAAAAAAGGTACAAAAAGGCGACCAGTTAAGGGCACGCCATTAACAAAAATTATCCATTGCAAACCCATGTAGAATCCTATTCTATTGCAAACCCATGTAGAATCCTATGAAAAATTAATCATTGCAAAACCATGTAGAATCCTAGGCAAAATTAACCATTGCAAAACCCATGTAGAATCGTACCCATTGCAAACCTATGTAGAATCCTATGAAAAATTAACCATTGCAAACCCATGTAGAATTGTATTAAAAATTATCCATTGCAAACTTATGTAGAATCCTACATTGCAAACCCATGTACAATAGATTGTATGAAAAATTATCGATTATAAACCCATGTACATCGTAACAAAGTTAATGAAATATAAAAAAAAATTGCGCCAAGTGAAAGTAGAACTTGTACCGTGGAAAATTAAAGTGCAGACATATATAGAGTTGTATAATGAATCAGTAAAAATTTCAATTGCAAATGTAGAATCGTACCATAAAAAAAAACTTATCTTTTAAAAAAAAAGATAAACTAGATGCCAAGTCCATGCGCCATGTGAAAAGAAATAAAAAAATTTTATTTTAAAAAACTGGGGCGCGCTGCTAATTTCAAAATTACAATGCACCTTAAAGTAACATTAATTAATTTAAACACAAAACATATTTAACTGTAATGAGTTTAAAGTAACAATTTAATTTTAATATGTTAGAATATTATTTAGCAGCGCTTCCCATTTTTTTAACTAAAATTTTTTTATTCTTTTTCACATGGCGCATGGACTTGGCATCTTGTTTATCTTTTTTTTAAAAGAAAGTTTTTTTATGATACGATTCTACATTTGCAAATTTAAATTTTTACTGATTCATTATACGACTCTATATATGTCTGCAACTTAATTTCCACTGGTACAAGTTTCTACTTTCACTTGGCGCAATTTTTTTTTATTTCATTCTTTTGTTACGATTGTACATGGGTTTATAATCGATAATTTTCATACATTCTATTGTACATGGGTTTGCATGTAGGATTCTACATAAGTTTGCAATGGTAATTTTTAATACAATTCTACATGGGTTTGCAATGGTTAATTTTTCATAGGATTTCTACATGAGTTTGCAATGGTTAATTTTCATAG